ACTGACCACAGCTGTTCAAGGGAAAGATCAATACCCGGTGGTTTCAGCGGGAAGTGGCGTTTCGTTCAGTGGATGAGCTGCGCACGCACGCATAAATGTGATTATCCAATATATTTAGGGCTATTTGAAATAGTTTTTGGTCTCAGGCGCGACCCAGGGCTGTTGTCTTAAGGACATTTCGTTGAAAATGAGCCATTCGGCTGATAATTGGTAAGAGTTTGCGATCTTATAATGTATAACTGTTACTCAGACACATATTTTGACACGATTTTGTTGGGAATAAGCTTTGAACCGAGAGATATACACGATTGATATGCACATTTTTGATTGTGCCATTGTTTTTCCATTGCACAATCCATGTATTGATAGAAGTAACATTAATAATCCAGATTGGTTTACCTTCAATACATGGCAGACACTACAGGGTGTTCCATATGTTTCAGGAATGATGCTGTGTTTTATTGGTTTTCTTTTCAATCTAACTGAATTTTTGACACAATGTGTCTTAACAAGTTTTGAATAAGTTGGGAAAGTTTCATATCGTGAAGTTCAGTAGTCTTTATTATATGGTTGCTATAGTAACCTAGGGGTAGGGTAGGTGGAGCAGGTGTAACAACGCGCAAAATATATGAAATATTTGTAAAAATACTCTTTTTTGTACGAAGGACTAAGTATTAGGTTGTCAGAGTTGGATCAAACTTGTCAGTAATTAAACAAAAATGAAGGTGGATTCCAAGAAAGTATTAGTAAAAAAATGTCATCACCCTTGATCACATCACAATTTAAACACCATGTAATGTCATGAGTCACAAAGGAGAATAAACACAGTTCATTTTGGACGAGCGGCCATCTTGAAAAGTGAAAAATTCATTAGCAAAGGAAAACCTTCGACTTAAGCATTACACAACAATCTAAGACAAGACATGACATGTTTGAATAACAGTTTTCTGCAGCAGACACAATTAAACTCCAGACGAATGCACATGGGGACTCCATGATGGTAACCTCTAGAGTGTATGAGTGGTACAAGCGGTTCAAATCTGGAAGGGAAACTGAGACAGATTATCCAAAATGTGGATTTCCGAGAACAGTGAGAGCGCTAACTAATGCAGAAGGGATAGATGCTGAAATAATGATGATGGCTAATAAAGGGTGTGATAACATTTTTAATTTCCAGGAATCCACCTTTATTCTTTTTAATTTCCAACAAGTTTGATGCGACTATGACAAATTAATACTTTGAACACTTTATACAAAACTACTATTTTTACAAAAATGTCATGTTTTGCTCGTTGTTGCACCTGCTCCACCTACCCTACCCCTAGATTACTATAGCAACCATATTATTCAGTCTTCTGAGTTTCATGATATGAAACTTTTCCAACTTATTCACAACATATTTGGACACATTTTGTCAAAAAATCAGCTAGATTGAAAAGAAAACCAATAAAATACAGCATCATTCCTGAAACATATGGAACACCCTGTACATATCGGTCTATTAAATACCAGTTTGTGCCTTAAATAGTTTTATATTTCCATCAACGGCCTGGAGCCTGGGTGTGTTTGTCTTTTATGTCTATGCTTGTGTATGGACTTCTAATCACTAGCAGAATTTAACATGATGCAAACTCGACATCATAACTCATGCTGTAACATTTTGACTTCGCTGGAAAACAATAGGAATTATTTTTCTTGCCAATCAATCATGTGAATCACAATCAAAATTTCAGAATGATCAATCAGGCAATGGTCCAAATCAAGTTATAACATTATATGATATTCAGCAAGAAGTCCGGTAGAAATACAGAATATTTAAACATCAAAGCTGAAAGTTAAAAGCTAATCTGTCAATTTTCTGTCTGCAAAAGAGCGTTTACATTTGACACAATAACAGACAGGCTTTGAAATCTAGGATTCCCCAGGAAAATATGACGTCATACTTATTAGCATAAGGATTTCCCTGTTGGTCTGGGTCGAGCCTTGTTCGAAAACACAATCCATAAATACATGCTAATTTCTAAAGAGATAGGAAGTGTATAACGTGTTTATCGATTTTGTTTAAAGATTTAATCAATTATCAAATTGTTTAAGTGGATAAAGTGGTCACACTTGCTTTAATTCATAGCGTAATCGACGGATAGAAAATGACCGAACTCCCCATATCCTACCCCGTATTACTGTAGGCTATTAAGCACAGTGACCTACAGAGGGCGCTATCACAAACAAGTACTGCACGAACCGATAAATTCCCGGGTATTGTAACGCCCTTGAGCTGTTTTGGCATTTATGTGGTAATCAACACTGGTTGTATTGATTGAACTAGTTAAGAAATGAGGAATGCTATACTAATAATCGTCTAATTAGTGCCTTTTGACACCTCGTTCACCTTGGCAAATCTCACAAATCTTTTGTAAGATATAAAATATTATTTTGATACAGGTCTCTAGGGTGCTCGCCAAAATGTAAGAATTCTCTCCTTTTAGAGGCTATTATTTGATAATCTAGACTAAAAAGGGCGGGGGCCCAAATTTTTTAGTCAAGAAAGAATTGTCCACGGAAAATAATTTTGGGCCCCTAAAACCCAAAATTGGGCACAAATTTTGAAAATTTAAGGCCCTTTTTTGAAAATTTGGCTTAAAAGGGATAAAAAGGCAAAATTATGCCCAAAAAGGCCCATTTTTTTGAGGCCTTACCAAATCTTTTTAGAGGGGGGCCATAGGCTCTCTGGATCCACCAGTAGAAAGGTAATACACAAAATACACAAAGTCGTCAAATCAAAAAAATGTGAAAACACAGAATTACATCTGATATTGAAATATTTATGCATCATTTAAAAAGGAAAGGTGCAAAACATTCATGGTAGATCCATAAAAAATGAATTCAAAATAACGCATTTGTTTAATCCATTGAAAAATGTTATTAAAAATTGGTACCAAATTGGAAAAATGATTGTAATATGCTATCTTAAGCGATGTGAATGTTTTTGACACATAAAATTGAATCTTCAAATAGAAACAGATAAGGATTGAACTGCAGTTTTGCATGGAAATATTGATTTCAGTACCAAATCAATGAAATCCCAAATATTGTCTCTGGAGTTGCTATGGAGACCATTTTTGACATTGCTGATTGCTGATTTAAGGGAGTTGAATTATGAGCCATCAAAATTGTTTCACACTTCTTAGCTTATTTGAAAATAGTTTGATGAAGAAGTGTTTGGGGAAAAGTTGATGGGGTGTGGGGGTACCAGTACCATCCATTTAGGGTTAACAAAGTCATATGGCATACCAAATAGTGAAATATGAGACAAAATTATATAGACAATACTGAATTTTTGCCACAGGAAAGTGAATGAAATGTCATGTTTTTAAAAGCTCAATCTTATTTCATTTTCATTAATATACAGCCTGTATTAAAATTAAAATTGAAATAAATTTAATATTATCATTATTTAAGGCAATAAAGGGGGAAAAATATTTATGAAAACATATTTTAAAAGAGAAACCATTCAAATTGAGGATTAAATACCGGTCATCAATGTGTTGATAGATGGACGAACAGACAAGTGAACAGACAGACAGACAGACAGACAGACAGGCAGGCAGGCAGACAGACAGACAGACAGACAGACAGACAGACAGACAGACAGACAGACAGACAGACAGACAGACAGACAGACAGACAGACAGACAGACAGACAGACAGACAGACAGACAGACAGTTAATTGGGCAATTACAATGGCTCATCTGTGTAAAAATGAGAATAAAGAATCACCTCAAGAATCCACCAAATGGTGCCATTTTTGAGATTGGATTTTATAAGAGCAAATATAATACATGGAACATATGGCATTTAGCATTCAATTAAGCATCAATGCTTTAGCATATCAAATATATTTCTTTAAAGAGTAGTATCTCCAAATATTTGCTCAATTGGTATTGTTTAAACGGCCAAATGGGTTTTGGTGTACAAAGATGATAAGAGCAAATATATTTCACTGAAGAAAACTATTCAATCAATCATGCAAGTTTATCAAAAATATAACTGGTATATTTAAAGATGTCTATTGGTATTGTTTGAACAATTAATTAATTATTGAATACCTTGTCACTTAATGTTTTGGGATTTTATTATTTGCAAAAGTTTTAGGTTGATTTACTTGAAATTGTACAAACAGTTTAATTTAAAGGCAATCAATATGAAATATCACAATTTGGCGAAATGTCAAAAAGTTTTATAAAGAATTCTTAAAAAATAGATAAACTCTTGTTTAAAAACATCACCATGTGAGCAAATTTTATTATGCGAATCAAAAGACTTGTTCAGCCATTTTTTTTCAACAGGAACTGTGTAATTTATATTCCATAGAATAGCTTGGTACCAAGTAAATATATCTACAACTATATAATCCAACATTCAGAGTTATGAGGCCCTAATAAAAATGCATATTAGCTGATTGGCATAACTTTTACAGAGTTTTATCTAGGGTACAGTCAGTCTTCATTTGGCACCACAACATAATAAAACTATAAATAAAATAAAAGTTATTCCCAAAAATATATCATTAGAAGAAAAAGTAAGCAGTTCACGTGGAAACAAGCTTTTATTAAACTTTTGCCCCAACTTTGAAATTAATGAAAGGCACCAAGTTTGCACATATATCAGATAAGTAAAAAGTACTTTTAACTTATACCTGAACTGCATAGATTGTGTTATACATGTACCTGTATATACTTGCAAATCTTAAATCTCTATGGAGAATAACCCACACACCCATACCTTTTCCCAAAACCTGATGATCATGATGAATAACATATTTACAGACAGATTTTCTAAAAAGAAATATTTCATTTTAATTCATCATTTAATTCTAGGTTTGGTGAGATCTTCAAGATATGTCATTCTACTGGTCATAGTACTATATGGATTGTTCAATGTGGGTTACATCATCACAAGGACACATGCACCAAAAGCAGAGACTCAACTACAACGATCATTGTCCCTCGATCATTTATTATCCAATCAAAAAGGACCAGACATCCTGAGGAATTATCTCAGTAGTAGATTAGAGAATGACACGAATCGGGACAAGAGGCTCACTGCTCATAAAATCCTGGACCTAATGCTCAAACTTGCTGCTGGGGCAAATAACGGCTCAGAGGGAGATCTCATCGATGATCTAGTACACATGCAAGGGACTGGGCAACTTTTTGGTGAGAAAAATATAGGAAAGGGTATACCAATACTCAATAATCGGCAACAGGATATGACAAAACCTGCAAGGATACGTGTAGGAATTGTCGTGTATATGCCTTACAGAGCTGATCGCTTATACGAAATGGAGGTTCTATCTTATATGCACCCATCGTGGCATTATGTCACGACTCATAGCTCCATCAAAAAGTCAATATCAATACCAGGAGCATCTGAGGTTCCCGATATGAGCCTTGATTTAATAATCTACTGTCACCCTAAAGCATGCTGTTCCGCCAAAAAGGCAAACTGCAAATTATGGACCCAGAATGCAATAGAAACTAACCAATCAGGTTGCTATTATCATCCAGAGGAAGGCTTCCCAGAAGCTCAGGAATACGGATACTATAATACATTTGCTTTCTTACGCGATGACAATTTCAAACAACGTGCTATGAAATATGATTGGTTGATTCGGTCGGATACTGATGTGTTTATTGGACCAGCCATTTTGGGGTGGCTTCCACATTTCAATTTCATGACAGGAAGTGGAGGATATGCATCTGAATTCAACAGAAAACGTCTTCCAGAAGTTGCATCAAGGTTGCACCTAAAGCACCATGGTATGACCAACATCGGAAGTACATGGTACGGCAAACCAGAACTATTCATAAAAATAAGTGAACTTACTCTAAAGTACTGTCAACATTTTTTCAACAATGAGTTCAACAAAACTTTAAATGGTATACAGGACGTCATGAATAAATCGGCATTTGGTGAATGGCCGACATGGTGGAGACCAGTTTCTTTACTTTACGCTGGAGAAGTCGTAATAAATGACATATTTCCAGACTTTAATAGCTCTTACATTGCTCAGCTTGACTTTCCAAGCAGTAGTAAACTAAATATTCTTTCATACCCTCATATGCATTGTTGGCACGGTGAAGAAGAATTTCAAAAATTCAAATTTGTCAACAAATTACGTGATATTATCAATGGGGGTAAAGATAACAGGACAAGTATTTATAAATCCGATCGTGATGTCAGTAGCATGACTGTGCAGGACTACTGTACATTTATTGCATGGAACGCAGTGGCCAACAACAAAAATGTTGAACACTTACAGAAACCTGCAGAAACATGTTCTTAATGAATGATTTGAATTAACTCATTAGAATAAACAAGTAATAGCAAAGTGTTGTGTCGAGCTTATCCAGTGGTTTCTTCAGGATATATCCCTTAAGGTGCTATGGAAGTTAACAGGAAATGACAAAATAGGAAGTGACAATTTTTTTTTGCATTTTTAGACATTTTTTGAACAAAGATATCAAAGTTCTGTTTTGACCTCCAGTCAATTCAACTAGTTCCAAATACCATTTACAGGTCCAGGATCACAATGTTCATGGTCAGAATGACCCTAAACATGATGAAATAACCTTTTCAGCCCTATGAAAATGTGACTGAAAAATAGCTAAAAGTAGGAGGTAGGAAAGGTCACTGAAAATTAGAAAAACAGCAACTCCACAGAGTAGCAAATCCCACACAACAAAACATATTTTGCTTATAAGTGGCCATCTTGAAAACTCCTTCTTGAGCAGAGCTTGTTTGTCCCTAGGCATCAACATATAAAATGTAAACCATATCCATCAATTAGCATTTGAGTTATCAAAGATTTCATTTCTTTTTTTACAAAAAATGGCAGCCATTTTGAAATTCAGCCGCCATTTTGAAAATTGTTCTCGAACAGAGCTACTGTGTCCCTCGGCATCAGCATATAAAATTTCAAAAAAATCCATTCACTGCTATTTGAGTTATCAAAGATTACATTTTTTAGGAAAAATGACCGCCGTTTTGATATTTAGCAGCCATTTTGAATCTCTTCTTCAGGGTAGCTTCTTTGTCCATAAGCATCATCCTTCAACTGGTATTTGAGTTATCAAAGATTACATTTTTTTATGAAAAATGGCCACCATTATAAAAGCAGCCATTCTAAAAACTCTTCTTCAGTGTAGCTCCTTTATCCCTAAGCATACAAAATTTGAACCAAATCCTTCAACTAGTATTTGAGTTATCAAAGATTACGTTTTTTATGAAAAATGGCGGCCATTTTGAGATTCAACCCATCTTGAAAATTCTTTCTTGAAAAAATCTACTTTGTTCCTAAGCATCATCATATAAAGTTTGAACCAAAACTGTTCACTGATATTTGAGTTATCAAAGATTACGTTTGTTATAACGAAAAATGGCTGCCATTTTGATATTTAGCAGCCATTTTGAAATTCTCTTCTTCTTCAGGGTAGCTCCTTTGTCCCTAAGCATCAGCATATAAAATTTGAACCAAATCCATTCACTGGTATTTGAATTATAAAAGATTACGTCTTTTTTTTTGAGTTATGAGGTATATCAGTTCAGATCAAATAACATTGACTGACTGGTGTAACAGATAAAGACTCGAGGCTTCACTAACACAATAGGCATGTATAGAGGCTGAAAACAGTTGGAGATTAAACGAGATACCATTTGTATTTGTACTCTATTCTACAGTGACACAAATTGTGTAGTTCAGTTAGCCTATAATGCTTTACGCGATTGGCGAGCCATTCTTGTATAAAATGTATATGATGAAATAATTGACAATGTATATGAAAGAAAAAAATTTTATGAAGTGAATCTTCACTGATTGTTTTAGAGTAGCACATGTGTGATGAGATAAAATTGCTCCACTACTCCATGAGCCAGTGTCATCAGAAAGTGAACCATGCTTATGAGTATTCACATATCAAATATGAACAAAATCGCTCTACATAATTTCAGATATTGCAAAAATCGTAAAATAGTGTGAAGCGCCCACCATTTTCCAAGATGGCCACTTTGTTTTTCAAACAATTAGATCTTTAACTTAATCAATTTCCTATATTTTGCATTTAAACCATATTAATAATATATTATATATTGTACCTAAATTAAACTAAAAGTTACACTAAAATGGTGGCCATTTTTAAACTGGCAGCTATTTTGAAAGTCAGCTTTGAGAACTTATATTCACATGGGGCATATGTGTATAATATAAATGATACTGGGCTAATGGTATTTGAGTGGCCTGGTCGGATATACTGATGGATTGACGTATCTAAGGATAGACAGAGGGACAGGGGATGGAGCCAATCTCTATATTCCCCCAAACTTCATTCGATGGGATAATTATACTTCAAAATGAACATTGATTGAAAAAGATATATTGTAGTTTTTGGTCATTTTTGATTATTTTAGTTAACATGTTAATAACGTCACAGAAAGAATCAACAGAAATGTGTGATGTTTTGATTACTTGTTTGGTTACGGAAATAGAAATCATGTGAATGAACCCGTTTCATGATACAAAGGGCTTCCCATTTCATGGGGAAGGCGGGGGGGGGGGGGCTTCTTAAACACATATCATAATTCATTTCAACAATATTTTGGTTTTTGGCTGGTGGAAAACATTGGAATAGTTTCTGCCAATATGGACAGTATGTATAGATACATATAAACTATTTCTATCCCAAGTGATATAAGTGAAAATACTAATTGTATATCTGTAAAACAGATTGATTTATTCTCTTAAGACATTGGGAATGCTGCCATTGACCTATTTCAATATAATTACAAATCCTTCTTTATACATTATGATGGTCAGTTTCTGCATCATTAAATTCATACTCAGCTATCTAATTAAACAATAAAAAGATGTACTTAAAGTTACCCTTATCCCAATTGGTTTACTACATCACACTCTGATTATAAAAAGAGATTTACTCTTTTTGTTGACAAGTCATTACAGGTGAGGGTATGGATGGGTAGTTATGTGATATTTTGAAATATAATTGCATATCATCAATACGGTTATGCTTGAATAATCATTAAAACTGAAAAAATACAATACAATTTACAAATTTTTCTCTGCTTTTTATCTCACTTGTACATAGAGTTCCAGAGTTATTAAATTGTAAGAATGATAAATCTTGCTATCAGGGTTGAACTCCAATGGTGCTTTGAATTATGGGGCTCTGAAAATGTAATTACTTACTACATGTAATTATCAATAGTTTATTGAAACTCTGTCTGGGGTACTAATAAGATTTTATCTTATAGCCCCATCATTATTAAATCATTACACAATCTTGTTATTGAAACAAGCTAAACTGAAACAGTGGAGAAAAGGAATTCATAGAAATTTTGAAACTATGCACAACTACATGTAGATGTATGTATTGCACAACTAATTCTACCTAAAACCACTAATTCTTCATGTCATTCAATAGTCTGATGTAATAAGAAAATGTTACTTCAGAGAGTCTGTATATGCTTTAGAGAGTGATTTTTCTATATTTCAATATAATTCATTGAATAGCATATTCATTCTCTGATAAAGTGGATCAGATTAACTAAGAATGACACTTTTATTATAAAATAATCAATAACTAATTTACAAGGTGCCATTTAAAAAAGTATAATATAGATTCTTGATCTCATCGCATGCAAACGAATGATATATTGAAGTCACAGGAGCCAATCAGATCACTAGATTACCCAATCGTGGAATAAATAATGAATGCTAGATTATGTAGAAGAAAAACTTATAAAGACTACAGTAAGGATTTAAAATGAAGATTATAAGAGGTAAAAGTTTATATACTACCATATTTTAATTAAATCAGTGTATTTTACAAATTTTTTGATATTATAAGATTTTAATTCATATAAGGGTGAAAAACACTGGCAGATCCAGAAGCTAAAATAGTCTAGAATAGGTATGTTGAAAATAAAATGACATCTTACATTTTGACGAGCACCTTAACCATGGTTGTCAAATGAAAGGTAAAGGGTTTCTTTATTGATACTGAGATTTGCCAAGATGAAATAGGTGTCGAAGTCTCTTTTTGGGTAAAAACCGGTTTTTGCAAAAAAAATTTAAATTGATAAAAAATATTTTAGAAAATTGATTATATAAAATGCAGTCTAGTTGACTCTTAAAAGTCAAAATATACCATGTTTAATCAACTGGGGGGATTTTGGGAGCTTAATAGTTTTTTCTTTGTGATTTGCATGCAATATCGACTAAAACGAGTGTGTTCAAAATATGATGACACCGTTCACACATTTTGACGAGCAGCTTAACCATGGTTAATAATTGAAAGGTAAAGGGTCCCTTCGTTGATACTGAGATTTGCCAAGATGAAATAGGTGTCGAAGTAAGTTTTTGGGTAAAAAATGTGTTTTTTGCAAAAATAATTTTATGTTAAAAAGAACATTTTTAGAAAAATTATTATATGAAATACAGTCTAGTTGACTCAAAAAGTCGAATTTTACCATGTTTAATCAAGGGTTCCTTTATTGATACTAAGATGAAATAGGTGTCAAAATGTGTTTTGGATGAAATGCCTTTTTACAAGAGAAATTCAAAAATTGAAATATATTTTTTGAAATTAAACTTTAACAAATATAGTCTGATTGATTATAAAAAGGTGAGAAAAACTATTTGTTATCAATTTTGAGAGATTTTGAAGCTGTGTGAGGTATTGCCTTGTGGTTTGTATCCTGCGAATTCAAAGGCACTTGAATTAACATTACTGCAATGAGTTAAAACAGGGGGTTGAGGTTGGTGCGATCTCAACCCCAAAAATACAACCAAAAAAAGAGATGAGAGGATAAGAATGCTTTTTGAAGTTTCTAGCTCAATTTTGAGGGAAATTGCACCAATTTTTAAAATACTACGATCCAGCCCCAATGGAAAGCGGGCTATGGCCCTGCTATGTATACCCTGTTTTATGTATATTCCAGTTCATATGTTAGTTAATGAAAGCACCAGAGAATTATCTGTGATGTAGCGGATATCTACAATGAATATTTTATGTATCCTATATTACAAGAAGATACATGGTCCCCAACCAAAAATTGATCATAAATAGGAAATCTATTGATACAAAATTAGCTTTAAAATACTTCTCTCAATCAAATAATCACTAACACTGAAAGCATCACCATTAACAATGTTAATTGTTGTTTCAAAAAGTACTTAATGTTAACAATTAGCAAAGATTTGAACTTCATCAATCTGTTATCATATTTGCACCCAGCAGTACATTTGATT